GGCATAAGTGTCTCCCTGGCAAGCACAAGGTCCAAAGTTCGATCCCTACAAAATAGAAAAAGAAAAAAGAAAAAAAACTTCTCAAATATTTTAAGCCAAAATCCTGAATACTATCTCAACAGTTTTCAGATGAACCAGTTCTCTAATCACTGCACACCTTCTTATTCTCATCTACTTTCCAGGCCTCTTTCTTATCCCACCTGGAATCACCTTGTTACCTCTTTCACTTTAAAAAATAGATCCATTGTTCCCAAGGGTCACGTCCTACCAATTTATATCTCAGCAGTCAATAAGGTCAGTAACGAAATATGAAACATTGTACCTGATACCAAAGAAATGTGAGGAATTTCAAAAGTATAAGGAATCGATAGAGATCATTATGAACACCTTTGCACCAACAAACTTGATAAAGAATGGACAAATTTTGGAACAAAATTTGGAACACTGAACACCTTACTAAGACTAAACCAGGAAGAAATCAAATACTTGAACAGATCAATGAAAAGTAATGACGTTCAATTAGTAAAAAAGTCTCCCATTAAAGAAAAGCCCAAGATCAGAAACTTAACTCCCAGAATTATCAAATATTTGAAGAATTATTACTACTACTCTTAAATAATTTCAAAAACTTGAAGATAATGGAATTCTTAAAACATAGGGGGCTTGCCCCTTAGCTCAGTTCTTTAAGTGGCTACTTCAACAAAGCCGTCAGGCTCAGGTTGCGGTGGTTCGATCCCCACAACTCAAGCCAGCCAAACCTGCCCTGAAGGCATTCGGAGAAAAAAAAAAAAGTCTATGAGTCCAGTATTATCCTGATAATGAAACCAGACAGGTACATAACAATAAGAAGCAAAAAAAAAAAAAAAAACCCTACAGGTCAGTATCCTTGGTGAACATAGATTAAAGGTTATCAAGTAAATGCTAGCAAACTGAATACAAAACATTACAAAGATTATTGTTAAAGTGGAATTCTGGCTGGGGAAGCAAGAATTGTCTAGCATGTACAAACCAATAACATGATACGATGCATCAACAGAACAAAGAAAAAATGGCAGAAATAGCATTTGATAAAATTCAACATTACCTCATGATAAAATTGCTAAATAAGTTAAGTATAGAAGGAATGTGCTTCAGCATAGTAAAAGGCACATATATAAGTGAAAAGCTAACTTCACATCATCCTGAATGCGGGCAAAAGAAGGGATTTCTGAGGTCTGAAATAAGAG